GGGGCCGGGAGGGGGGCAGTAGAGTTTCCCTGGTGTTGGCCAGAGTGGCCACCAGGGAAACCTGGGGAGGGCTAGCCTCCCACTAGTTCGAATTAAGGGGCTACACAGCCCTTAATTCGAAATAGTAAATTCGAACTAGGCTTAATCCTCGTGGAATGAGGATTACCTAGTTTGAACTAAGCGCTCCGTTAGTTCGAATTAAATTCGAACAGAGCGCTAGTGTAGCGCCTGTGAAAGTTAGTTCGAACTAACGTCTGTTAGTTCGAACTAACTTTGTCATGTAGACATACCCTGAGAGACTCTTGCCAACTCCTTCTTTTAATAGACTACTAGGGGTTTGCGCTCCCTGCTCCCTGCACTCACCAAGCTCCCTGGCCACTGGGGAGGACTGGGCAGTGGCTGCGCCAGCCAGATCCCTTCCCTCTACCCTTCTCCCCCAGCCCTGGTCCCCTTCCTCCAGCCAGGGCCCCTTCTCCCTCTTCGCCTCCCCTCCTCCCCCAGTCCAATACTTTCTCTCCCTCCTTAACCCTCCACTGAGTGGGTCCTGCTGCCAATACAGTGGAGCAGCTGTTTTTAAAACACCAGCAGCTGCCTGCTACATGGCAGCTTCTGGCGTTTCAGCCAGCTGCTGTGCAGCGGCTGAGGGAACCAAGGTGTATCCCAGTCCTAACCCTCCCTCAACCTCCCCTAGCGCAAGTCCTGCCATGGTCCCCCCATGACCTCCAGCATGGATGCTTCTGCCGGCACCCCAATCACCTGTTTTTAAAACTGCAGCCGCCCTCCATGTGGTGGCTGCCGTACGTTCAGCCAGCTGCTGTGCAGCAGCTCAGGAGACCAGGGTGTACCCCAAGCCTGCCCCCCCTCCCCACAGGTCTCACCACCACCTGCCCACTTATAGAATCATAGATTCCTAGGGTTGGAAGAGACCTCAGGAGGTCATCGAGTCCAGCCCCCTGCCCGAAGCAGGACCAACCCCAACTAAATCATCCCAGCCAGGGCTTTGTCAAGCCAAGACTTAAAAACCTCTAGGGATGGAGATTCCACCACCTCCCTAGGTAACCCATTCCAGTACTTACCACATGGTTCTGCCTTATCCCCGTCCTTTCCCCACAAACCCAGCAGCAGCTTACCTTCAAGGTGCGAGGAAGGTGAGGTATAGTAAGACACTATGCTCTCTCTACAATGCTTTGAGGGGTAGAGATGACTGGATTAGTGTTCCATCATCCTGTTCCTCCCCACCCCGTTGGCTTCCTAGTACCATTGTCAGCACTAGATGCCCCTGGTCCTTGTGTACTATAAGCACAAGTTTTGGGACTATCTGACCCCTGAACAAGGGGTACACATGAGATGCTTATAGACTCCCACTATATTTTGCATCAAAACAAGGTAAGATTCTGTGCAGCCTTAACCATATAACTGCACCCCTTACAGCAACTGAAGCATTCAGTCAGGTTTTTCATGTTATAGGGATAGGCTAATCACTGCTGTCTGTCAGGAAGGGAGAGAAATACTAATAACAGATCATTCTTGCGGTTAGCCACAAACACAATTGTAATGTATATTTTTCTTATCCCTACAGACGGGGAAGTCTGAAGAGTTATTGAGTGCTCTGGGTTGCCAGGACTTCCCTCCACCGTCAGACTGTGAAGACCTACTGGTAGAATTTCTGGAGGTAAATGATAGTGATGATCAACAACTGATGCCAAGTCATGAAAAAGGTCATCCCAGTAAAAATACGAAATCAGCACACAAGGAAACAGTCAGTGACTCAGGGAAAGGGAGCTGTGACAGCCCTTTCCTGCTCTCTGAGAAGAGCAGGGGGCTCAGAATCCCTCCATCAGCATTTCAAACACCAAATGTCAATGAAATTCCAGAAAATAATGCCAGAAAAAGCAACTGTGAAATACAGAGCATAGACCTGGGAAAAGGGAAAATACCCTATATTTACACTGGTAGTGCAATGTTATCTACATGGCCTGGAACTCAGCTAGTTAACAACCAGACTCCTAAATGCTCCTGCCACAACATTACAGATGTTTGTAAGATAGCCCTTGGCACCATGAATGTGAATGTCACCTCAGTTTTGGTGGGAAGTGAGGAAACTCAACAGTTGCAATATTCTAAACCCATTGAAACTATCAGTGAGGAAAAACTGGACAAGCAAGGAGAACTGGAGAGCTTGCATTCCAAAGTTGACCCAGACACAATGCAGTTGCTGCCCAATGAGAAGTCACCTTTTTTGTCTGCTAAACTGATGGATTATGTAGAAATTCACAAAGTCAATCAAGATGGAGCATTAGCTGTATTACCGAAACAGAAAGAAAATAGTGGCAAAACTGAAAACTGCACCGGCCCTGGAACCAGCAAAGAATATGCAAAGGTCTCAAGAGTTGTAGACAACAACATTCTAGTAATAATACCAGTTTCAAGAGTTCAGACTACACCTATATTTCAAGAACCTCCAAAGGAATCTATTCAGAACCTTCAGCAGGGTCAAACAGAGAAAAATATGAGCTATTGTTTTACAACTCCAAGTGAATGCAAAATAGATGCAGGTGGATTAGATTACCTGGATCCAACTTCCTTTATGTGCTCCTTTTAATTAACTGAAAGTTTGATTTATTCTTCTTCAGGTGATACTACAGAGTAAATTACATGAAATTAAAATGGAATGTTCCCATTTGTGGATTGCATAGAATTACACTACTATAGCTCAGTTGTAGCTCACACCCGTCTCTTTTCTATTGTCTGCAGAACAAATTATTTCATTTTCTAATTGTGATGTATAGATTTACTTTTGTTAATAGTTATGTACAGTAAAACAAAAGCACATGGCCTGGTTTCTTGAAAAACCCATACAAACTGAGGCACAATAAAGAGGGAAAAAAAAAGGATTTGTAGGTTTGTGATAAAGTAAATAAACCTCAGATCATTAAAATAGGTTTTCAGTTTAGGGGGAAATGACAAGGAAGTTGATATTATGTGCCATGAAAAGTACATTGTAAACACATTATTGGACCTTGTATTTCTTCTACTATTTGATTTAAAAGTAGCCAAATATTGTAGGTTCAACAAAGATACAAAATTTGGAGAGGTTGGTCAGTATACCATGATTAAGGCTAAGGTATTGTCATGGATATTTTTAGTAAAAGTCATGGGCAGGTCACAGGCAATAAAGAAAAATTCACAGATGCCCATGACCTGCCCATGACTTGGACCCCACATCACCTCTGGGGACTCGATGCTCCAGGGTCCCCCACTGCCTGCAGATTTGAGCTGTGGAGTCCCCTGCTGCTCATGTGGCTCATACCTCCCAGACCCCCCGGAGATGTGGGGTATCCCCACCACCTACATCAGCTTACAGGACAGGGAAACCCTGCAGTTCTCAGCCACTACACACTGAAGTCACAAAGGTCTCTTCTGTGACTTCTACAACCCGTGACAAAAATCACAGACTTAGCCATAATTGTTCGTACAATTCCTAGACCAGGTATACTGCTAATAAGTTACTTTAGCATGCAGCCTGTCTTTTCCTAATGAATTCTAAACAGTGGTATAGATTTTCCTATTATATTTTTTTACAATCCTAAATAAAATTAGTATTTTGGATGTTGACAATTTCATATATAAAAGGTAATATACTAAAGTTGAAAAGTAGTAAGCCTTTCTCAACATATTTTCCTGCTTTCTTTCAATATGATTACTAAAATACATCTCACCATCTCTTAGCCAAGTAGAACTAAACAACATTCACTTTTATTGAAAGAAAAACCACAGCAGGACACTATCTGCAAGTTAAGATGTATGAATTGGATAAATGGACTGTAAAGTGGATAAAAAGCTGGCTAGATTGTTGGGCTCAATGGGTATTGCTCAACCGCTCAATGTATGGCTGGCAGTCAGTATCAAGAGGAGTGCCTTCAGGGTAGATCCATGGTTTTGTTCAACATCTTTATTAATGACTTGGATGAGGGGATAGATTGCACCCTCAGCAAGTTTGCAGATGACGTAAGCTAGGGGGAGAGGTAAATACTCTGCAGGGTAGGGAGAGGGTTCAGAGTGAACTAGACAAATTGAAGATTTGGGCCAAAAGAAATCTGATGAGGTTCAACAAGGGTCCTGCACTTGGGATGGAAGAATCCCAAGCACTACTACAGGCTGAGGACCGACTGGCTAACTAGCAGTTCAGCAGAAAAGGACCTAGGATTACAGTGGATGAGAAGCTGGATATGAGTCACCAGTGTGCTCTTGTAGCCAGCAGATCTAGAGTCCTGATTATTCCCCTGTATTGGGCACTGATGAGACAAGCCCACAGCCCTCCCCCTTCTGCTTCAGCCCAACCCCTTCTCATTCAACCCAAACCATGGGGGGAGAGAGCAGGCAGGCACGTGCTTACCCCAGCCTCTCCAGCCCTGCAGCACCAGGGGAGGGAGAAGGGCACGCTGCGCAGTCCAACCCCACAACACTGGGTGATGGAAAAGGGTGTGCAGCGCAGCCCTACCCCAACTGTACTGGGAGGGAAGGCGCTGGGGGCAGCAACACTCTGCCCCCAGAACACCTCCAGCAGGCATTCTGGGGGCAGAGTGTGGGTGGGGCCATGCCTGGTGGTTTGGGAAGGCAACCTTCTCCCACCTATGATATCCACTGCCCATGATTGTGTTCTGTTCTGAGCCCCCCATTACAGAAAGCACATGGACATATTGGAGGGCAACCAAAATGATTAGGGGGCTGGAGCACATGATTTACGATGAGAGACTGAGGGATTTGGGCTTATTTAATGTACAAAAGAGAAGAGTGAGGGGAGATCTGATAGCAGCTTTCAACTTCCTGAAGGGAGGTTCCAAAGAGGATGGAGAAAGGCTGTTCTCAGTAGTGACGGATGGCAGAACAAGGAGCAATGGTCTCAAATTGCGGTGGGGGAGGCCTAGGTTGAATATTAGGAAAAACTATTTTACTAGGAAGGTGGTAAAGCACTGGATAGGGTTACCTAGGGAGGTGGTGGTGACAAAGCCATGGCTGGGATGATTTAGTTGGGGTTGGTCCTACTTTGGGCAAAGGTTTGGACCTGATGACCTCCTGAGGTCTCTTCCAACCCTATGATTCTATGGGATATACTGCCTTATTGTACATAAGATAAAAATATACTTTAGTAAAAACCCAGGAGTTCAACATGTATTTTTGAAAACTATTTTTCTAAAGTAAAAATAAAATATTTTCTAACTTCCCATAACTATTTACCTACTTAACTTCATTGATTTCTTCTCCTGATGCAGGAAGAGGTGATAAGAAATGAAGCTATCATTTCAATAGAGAAAGACCAAAATAACTATATGAGACCTGTAGAATAATGAAGGAGCTGAAGTAACTTTTGAATGTATATTTCTAATGGACTGTAGATGTAATACAATGAATTGAGAATTATTTAGTCCATGTGTTATATTAATCATTCTTCTAAAACTACGTGGAATCCTAGGTTTTAGGGGTTCCGACCCTCCTTAATTTGCTATCTCCCTGCTGGTCTGTGTAAACTGTTCTATAGAAGTAGCTGTGTAAAGTCAATCAGAGATGGAATGACACAAAAGACAGGCCTTTCTCTGAGTGAGGGAGGAAATTGTAAAGAAGTTATGTTTTCCAAAATTGATGTCTTGCTGTCCAAGCTCAATAGGATGAAAAGTCAGGACCCCTGATATCAAAGATCCTATACTCTGCTAACATGAAGAAGAAAAAATGGTCAGTACATTTGATCTGGGGCAGTTCCCCCACAATGAAAGTAGAACAGAACCATCTGTCCCTGAGGCTGGCAGTAAGAACTCCAATTACCCCAGCTGGGAATAATGGCACTAGTTTTCTGACCCTCCTTCCCCAAATAAAAGCTTTTTTTCTAAAGTAAAATACACTCAAATGATGATGTATTTGTCTGCCTTGCAAGTGAGCTAAGCAGATACACAGCTGAGTAACATCCATAAGTATAGTTGTCCAGTAGCTTGGGGAAGAGCATTGTGTTATGCAAGTGATGGGAAATGCATTCCCCGGTCCCATCCCACTGCTTCCCCACAATAGTTTTGAAGATCTTCAGTGGGCACCTTTCTGGGCTCATGCACGAAGCCAACTGCTTAGCGAACGTACAAAAGGCCACATCTAATAGGGCCCACACAAGCTATCTTTGGACCATAGGAAAACCCATCTCTGTTCATCTATCCTCTTAACTCTGACACAGTAAGACTTTGGAGTGGCGTTACATTTTTTTCTTAATCCGTATATTATGTAGATATAAAATATACTCTGTGTGTGCATCTGTCTGTCTACACAGTGATCACCCTTAAAATATTTTACTTTGTTGTGGATAACTAGATAACTTTACTGAAGTGTTTAGTGTTTTTTGGGCATTGGATAGGGAATGCCATGATTATTTCAGTAAAATTATATAATTATCAAAAGGAAAATTGGACTGTTTTTACAGTGTGTGGGTATGCACACACAACCCTATCTGTCTGCCTCTTTGAAAGTTCCTCATTTGGACTTCAATTTCCTAACTGTGGATCTGGTATAGTCAGTTCAGACCAGACACACTCTTTTTGTGATTTCTGATAGGTATACCTATACCAAAAAATTATTAAATATACTGGGGCCAGAATCTTAGGCTTACTCTCGGCCCTATGTGTCTCAAAGTAAAAAGTCAGGTTACTCAGCCACCTGTACATTCCCCTTGTACAGGGGAAATCTCTAGAGTAACATACAGTTAAATAGTGTAAGGATATGGCCAGAGACAAAGTGGAGTGTTGGGACCCAATGCAGTTTATATCCCAAGGATAAGGATTTTATGCCACCTTTGCCTGTTCACTTCTGTTTCTGTACTGAACACTGCCTACCTGGACCAGAGAACTTGGATCAATATAATTTTCCATTCTTGTTCCAACATCCCACTGTTGTTTGAAGAATTTGAGATCAGGCTTTAAGAGAATTATTTTTAGAAAGGCCACAAGCACAAACTCTAGATTGCAATGAGGAGAAAATGGGTATTTTTGCCTGTAAATATGGGTTTGCACATTTGAACATTTGGTCTAAAATATATTTTGTGATGCAAAAAAGGTGCCCAGTCTCTCTCTGTAGGAGATCTCATAGAATAAATGGACCCGATGACCCAATCCCAAAGGGAACAGAGGGATCATAGCTGCTATTCCATGTCATCAACTAGCAGAGCAGCTGTGGAAGATGTACAATGCAGCTAAAAAGCAAGCCCAAGATCACAGATTCTGTCCTGCCTGTCCCCATCTCATCCTGTCAGATCACTGTGGTTCTGCACAAAGACATTGACTTTAGTGAATCAGCTGTGTTCTTCCTGGCTGGTTTAAATCAGAGTTTAATCCACTCTAAATCTAAATAGGCTCCCCACTTTTTTTATGTCAGGTTTATGACTATGTAAGATGTGCATTACTTTTTAAATAAAGCATAAGCACTAAAGTTGTAAGCATAAAGACTCCACTGAAAAATGCTAATTTGTTTTCTAAAATACACAGAATTACTTTAAATGGTTAAATGTTTTTAAAATAAACTACCTCCCCTTTGGATTCAAAATGGTTTAACTAAATAAAAGATCTGCTATTCTTCAATATTGAAAAAGATGATGTCTCATGCTTTTAAATTTTCTAATTAGGCTGTATTTGTTTTAGCAGACACATAATTGATGTACAGTGCCTGTATTTTTTATGTAATGTTCAGTGTTTTTAAGTAGTTGTCTACTTGCTTTATTGAATTTGGGACATGTGGTCATTGAATAATGCTCTTTATGATGAAATAATCCTTTGCAGTCATATTACATTAAATGTACATATCAGTCCATGTAAAGTATTAATATGGGAAAATATGTGTCTGTAGAACAAAACTAAATAACAAACTTGCAGTCATCATGGCTTTATGTTGAAGCAGTGAATGCTATGTAAATGTTTTGATTTATGTCTATCTACATAGTGTGAAATACAAATGCACAGTAACTTTACAATATCATTCAAATATTTAAAGTATAGTATCAGGAGTTAATTAAAAATGAATATTCAGCTTTTACTTTCTGACCTCTAATACACTGTGCATGTGGAGTTCACATTATGAAGCCAACTAATGTGCTCAGTCATTTTTCATTAACTTTAAACAACTTGAAAGAGTTATCCAGGGAAACCAAAGTAACCTTGGCCAGCTAATGGATAACTTATGCCCTTTCTAGTGCCATAAAGTCATGATGAAATCAAGCATATGTCATGTTATTAGATTCTATATTTTGAAAGGAATTGCTACCTCTGTTTTTTTTCCTACGTGAAAAAGTCAAACAGAAGCACCTTACTTGAAGTGTCAAATTGGAAATATTATTGTAGCAAATACAAAAAAAAACTCTCCAAACATTTTATGTTACAATTGCTTTTGCTTTATGACAGTCTATCATGGAGGCACCATTTGTGTTGCATTATAACAATTAAAATGGGTTATTATGGATGCATAGTGAGGTGGGATATTTTTGTGTGAAAATGACGTGTCTTTAGGCAGGCCCCAGCTAGTGTGTGGGGCATATGCCATGTACCTGTTGTGTCAGTCGCTTTCCTGGGCTTTGTGGCCAGTTAGCTGGTCATTGCTATTCCCTTATTGGTGGCCAGTTCATCAAGGGTTATAGCTTCTAGGTCAGACAAATTGAACTGACCATTTATCCTAGTGTTTGAAGATACCTGTTGAGATTTTAGATGCTGCAGAACCTCTCCCGCTCTTATTCTCACTGTGTGGTTATGGAGAATTACCCATAACCCTTCTCCAACAGTGAACTCCCAGCTCTACCACCAACAACCAAAAAGCAAGGTCCTTGGATGACTGAAAGGGTAGGATATACTAAAGAGGAATATGTTTATACTTCAAGCTTCAGATGGAAAGTTCAGCTCAAGGAGGCATACTTGCACTACCGTGCAAACTAGGCAGGAGGGGACTAGCTGCCTGAGTATGTACCTACCATCTTGGATTCATGCAGCAAATCCCTACTGACATTCATGCTGTGACAGCTATACTATTTTTATGTAGCTTGATCAGCACTAGCACAGCTATGTTTCCTGGAGCTGGAAATTATAATGTCCTGCTTTAGCATAGTGTAAAAGAGAGACAGAGAGACTCGGTATGGGCTGGAAAGAAGATGAGTGGTGAAAAACAGAAGCAGAAGAGCACAAGGGAAGAAGACGACAACCATGTGGAAGGAGAAAAAATACAATAAAAATGGAGCAGAAATAATAAAAAGAGGAGATTATTAAACATTTTAAAATTATATGTTAGAAAACAGACAAAAACTCAATGGAAAAGAGACACCAAGACAATAAAATATAAAATAAAGTGACAGAAAAAATGAAGAGAAAGGAATAGACATTGTTATAGATAATGAGAACATCCACAGATATATTAGCTAGTAAATATATATACAGGCAGTCCCCGACTTATGTGGATCCGACTTATGTCGGATCCGCACTTACGAACGGGGCTTTCTCGCCCCGGAGGTCGAGGTAGCGGATTGCGACAATAAAATATAAAATAAAGTGACAGAAAAAATGAAGAGAAAGGAATAGACATTGTTATAGATAATGAGAACATCCACAGATATATTAGCTAGTAAATATATATACAGGCAGTCCCCGACTTATGTGGATCCGACTTATGTCGGATCCGCACTTACGAACGGGGCTTTCTCGCCCCGGAGGTCGAGGTAGCGGATTGCTAC